CAATCAACATTCATCAATGTTTCTTCTATCTTATTTGGTTCAAAGGATGACACAAATAAGAAGTGTTCACAAAATAATGCTAATTTTGATCTTGTTTGTACACCTCTAGAAATATCTCCAATGATAGTGTCCAATGGATGATCTCTTGCAATATTAGTTGGTTGAAGAATAGGAACATTATTGCTTGCACTTGCTTGATCATTGGATTGAGATGATGTACTACCCACTTGATCTTGTTCATTATCATAAGAGCCACTTGAACTTTCTTGATTTGTATCATCTTGCATATTTGAGTTAGAGAACATTTGCACATGATCATCTTCTTCATCAATCACTTGCCTAGGCCTTAATTCATCAACATCCATGTTCTTCATGGCATTTGAAAGTTGAATGCCTCTAACATCTTCCAAGTTCTCATTCTCATCTTAGGAACCCTTAGTTTCATCAAATTTAACATCATGAACTTCCTCAAGAGTACCACTTGACAAATTCCAAACTCTATATGCTTTGCTAATGGTTGAGTATCCAAACAAGAATCCTTCATCACATTTTTTGTCAAACCTGCTCAATCTAGTGCCTTTCTTCAAGATATAACATTTGCAACTAAAACCCCAAAAATATGCAATGTTGGGCTTTCTACCATTCAAGAGCTCATACAGTGTCTTCTCTTTCAAGGGGTGACAATAGAGACGGTTGCTACAATAGCAAGCAGTGTTGATTGCTTTAGTCCAAAAGGACTGACTCACATTGTACTCACTAAGCATAGACCTTGATTATAGAGTGTACTTCACCAAGAATTGATGACTAATTCCAAAATCATCACACAACTCATCAATTCTTGTGTTCTTGAACTCACTACCATTGTCACTTCTAACTCTCTTGATGATTGTTTCAAATTCATTTTGTATGCCCTTGAAAAATGATTTGAATGTTGCAAACATATCATTCTTGTCCACTAGAAAGAATGCCCAAGTGTATCTTATATAGTCATCCACTATCACAAAGCCATATTTGTTTCCACCAATGCTAGTGTATTGTGTTGGCCCAAACAAACCCATGTGCAATAACTCAAATGCCTTGCTAGTGCTCATTATGCTCTTCTTAGGATAGGTGTTACCAACTTGTTTGCTGGCTTGACAAGAGCTACAAAGTTTGTCCTTCTCAAATACCACATCTTTCAAGCCTCTAACCAAGTCATACTTAACCAATCTATTCAATTGTTTCATTCCAACATGACTAAGCCTTCTATGCCATAGCCAACCCATACTAGACTTAGTGAATAAGCATGTTGACAATTGAGCTTCACTAGCATTGAAATCAACCAAGTATAGATTCTCATATCTAAAGCCTTTGAAGATCAAATTAGAGCCATCTACACTTAAGATCTCTACATCATCAACTCCAAATATGCATTTGAATCCAAGATCATACAATTGAGTCATGGATAGCAAATTGAAGTTCAAGCTCTCAACTAGTAACACATTGGAAATGCTCATGTCATTGGATATTGTAATCTTATCAAGCCCTTTGACCTTACATTTGCTATTGTCACCAAATGTGATACTATCATAATCATCATTGTCATTGGTATTGATTGAGTTAAACATTCTTGCATCACCGGTCATGTGTTGAGTGCACCCACTATCAAGAACCCAATGTCTTCCTCTGGCTTTGTAATTGACCTATAAAAGAAGATCAATTATTTTTTGTACCTAAACTTTCTTGAGTCCTTGAAGGTTAGTTACTAAGCTCTTTGGTACCCAAATGGATTTCTTCTTTGAGCCCATCCATGGTGCACCAATGAACTTAGCCTTCACACCATTAGTACCCTTGATAAGCACATAGAAAGAATCAAGCTTAATTGAGGATACTTTAACTTGTGATTTCTTGTTCATGCATTTTTGCTCTATGTGATCAACTTGCTTGCAACTAGTGCAAAACCGACTATTGTTCTTCACAAAACTAGTCTTGTGAGGAGTAAAGGCCGCCTTGTCTTTCTTGGTGGTATAGCCCAATCCCTCTTTGTAGAGAGAAGCTTTTTGGCTACCCAAGCACATAAGCAAGCGGTCCTCACCACCATAGGCTTTGCCTAAGGCATGAGTGACCTCATTAACCTTCTTCTTGAGGGTCTTATTCTCAACAATTAGTGAGGCATCATAAGTGAAACCATCACTACTAGATGAGGTAGAAGTGAAAGTGCTACAAGAAGGGTTAGTGGCAGCAACAATGATAGGCTTATAGAATGATTCATCAATTATATCACAAGTTAAGCCTACATCACATGTCTCAACATGCTTCTTCTCATTTTGCTCATTAAGCAAAGAGGAATGAGCTTTTTCAAGCTTCTTGTGAGCCTTGCCATGCTTCTCATGGGCTTTCTCTAGCCTCTCATGAGATGCATTGAGCTTATCAAAGGCTTGCTTAAGGGCTTTTAGTTCCTTACGTAAGCTTTTACATTTCCTTCTCTTAATGTCAAAGTGTTCTTTAGCATCATCTAGCATGTCAAGTAGTTCATCCTTAATTGGTTCATCATCATCACTATCACTTTCATTTTCATTATCATATTCCTCATCACTTCCATCATCATAAGTTTGCACCATAGTGGCCTTAGCCATGAAGCATGATGGAGTGTCAAAGAGAGAAGGCTTTTTATTGATAGCAATGCTTGCAAGTGCCTTCTTCTTGGTAGTCTTGCCATCATTACTATCATCATCATTACTTGAGGAAGCATCACTATCCTAAGTGACCACATAGGGTGCCGCACAACCAACACAAGATGAGAATCACACAAGCCACGCGCAATCTAATAGAGTTGTCTTTGGCGCTCCGCCGGGGAAGGCACAAGAACCCCTCACAATCACAATGATCGAAGCCGGAGATAATTACCTTCCTCAGCTCGATGATCCACTAATCACCAGGCCATCTAGGTGTCGGCAAACACCAAGAGTAACAAGATCTCCATCAACCCAAATCACCCAACTAGTGTCACAAGATGCTAGACCACTAAGCAATACACTAGAGGTTCTCTAATCTCACTCAAGATGATCAAATCAAGTGTGCAAGTGAGTGGAGTGGTGTGATCAGCTCTCAAAGGGTGTATGCAACTGTTAGAAGTTCCAATAGAGCCGTTATCCCTTTGAGTCAGCTTTCTGCGAGGTCACTGGACACGGCGGTGTGGTCACCAGACAGGGGGTGGTGGTGACCCTCCAACGGTCATCCAACGGGGGCACCGGACAGGGGGTGGCGGTGCCACCCCAAGCCAGCCCCCTGTTTTTCCTCCTCTCTAGATAAATAGGGTGGTGCACTGCCATAGGGTGGCGGTGACCGTGGCGGTGCCACCTGCTGGTTCCCCCACTCTCTGTTGAAAAGAGGTAGTGGTACCGGACAGCACCCGATGGTGCACCGTCATGCACGTGGCGGTGTACACAGTGGTGTCCGATGACTAGCCTTCACTTGGCTGCTCTCGGGTGAGTCCAGGTGGGCACCGCCCTAGGGTTGGCGGTGCCACCAGTCAAACTTCGCGCTCTCGGCCTCCTCAGCCGGTCACCGCCATAGGGGTGGCGGTGCCCCCATGGCAGCACCCTGAGCGAAGAATCGCCTCCTTTTCTACACCTTTTTCATCTCATTTGCAAATATGCTAACACTCCAAGTGTCTCACCATCACGTGCAGGTGTGTTAGCATTTTCACAATCATTTTTCAAGGGTGAAACACTTCTCACCGATTATACACTAGGCCTAAAATGCATATGGAAGTTTTCCAACACCTAGTGGCACTAGATGATCGAGTTGTCCGATAAGAGCTCCCCTCTTAATAGTACGACCATCTATCCTAAATATAATCACACTCTCTATAGTGTCTTGATCATCGAAAACAAAATAGCCCTATTGATATCACCTTTGCCTTGAGCCCATTTTATTTTTCTCTTTCTTCTTTTCCAAGTCCCGGAGCTTGATCATCATCACATGTCCACACCATCACCATGGACTTTATTTCATGTGGCCATCTCCATCCATGAGTGCCAGCTAGCTCCTTTACTTGGATTGGATCATCCTAACTAGCCACACACTTAGATGCAAAGATTAGTTCAAATAGGTTTTCATCAATTAGCCAAAATCAAACTAGGGCTTTTATTGCTTAAGAGCCTGTTCGGTTGGCTGGTTCGTTTCGTTGCTGGTTCGTGAAAAAGTACTGCTGACTAGTTTGTGGGAGAGAAAAATACTGTTCCGGCTGGAAATTTACGATCATTTACGACAAGCCACAGCCAAACGAACAGGCTGTATATTTATAATAAATAGTATTAGCATTTATATCTCCAAATAATTTTATTATAAAAATATATTCTATGGCTAATATAATGGTACTTATTTTACATAAAAATATGAATACTTTTTATATAAATATTTTGTCAAAGCTTAAACTGTTTGATTTTTTGAAAAACAAAAATTATATTTTTTTATGAACGGAGGAAGTATATTTTGGGGGGTATTTAGTTCACCCCAAATTCTAAACTTTGGCACTATGCAAAAAGAAGATTCTCCATCACATCAAACTTACGGTACATGTATAGAGTACTAAATATTGATGAAATCAAAAACTAATTGCACAATTTAGTTGTACTTTGCGAGACAAACGTTTTGAGACTAATTAGTCAACGATTAAACAATTATTATCAAATAAAAACAAAATACTACTATAGTATTCGCGGCGCCGATTCGTCCAAACTAAACGTGGCCTTGCTCGCAAAAGTCACAGACCTGGCAATCTTCGTAAGGAAGAAATGATTTAAATACCAAACTGAAAGGCTGCCTCCTTCCCTCGCAAGGAGGACATTTTTGCTATCCAGGACCTTCCTTCTCGGTAATCTTCTACAGTAGAAATTTCTTTTACATTAAAACCCTTCCTCTTATCTAGCACGTCCTGCAGAAGAAACCTAAATAAATGGCGGGATCAGATTCAACTAGTACCGGGCTCCTTCCCGCCCCTTGACGCCTCCACTCCCATGGCGTTGCCGCTGCCGCAGCAGCCAGACCGCCCCTACACCTCCGGCAGCCTTGGCTACTTCCACCTCCGTCTCGTGGGCCCCGCCCCCGCCCTGTTCCTCCTGCGCACCGACCGCCTCTACTCGCTCTCCCACTCCCGCCGCCGGGGCTACCGCCTCCGCCTCCTCGCCAGTTCTCATCGCCGGCGCGCCCGCGACCTCCTGCTCAGCACCTACGGCTGCGACCTTCGCCTCACACACCGATCTAGCATCGGCTCTCCGAGCGTCAATGACCGGCCCCTCTGCGCGGGGACCCCCACCGAGCTGGCCGTTGGCGACGAGGTATCGGTGCTGCGCTGCGGCACCAGGTACGGATTCGTCGTGGAGAGGTTCGTCTCATGCGGAGGGGTTGAGGTTGGTACGGCTTCAACGGCGGGGTCCTGCGCCGAGGGGCTTGTGTTTAGGGCCTTGTCGCTGCGGAAACGGCTCAGGGCGATCTGTGAGAGCGAAGATCCCCTTTCGTTATTGAGGGATTGTTCTGGAATTGGTAGCCTGGATGTTGATGTTGGACCTAAAAAATGGAGGCAGCATGGTGCTGGTGAATTGTGCCTGGACAATCCAATTGCTCCCGCTTCTGAGGAGAATGTGCTGCAAGGTGATTGCAATTTTGACCAAGACAAATTGGAACACCACCTTGATGTTGTAAATGATGGCGATGGAGAGCTGTTTAATGGGAGTAAAGGATGCAGAGATGACAATGCAGAGCAGCCAGGATGCGGCAGCGGCAATGATGAGCAGTATTGCAGTGAGGGCTGCTACTCAAATGGGAGCACATTCTTCTTGAATCGCCTTGCATGTACTGGGTCTGACACATCGGAACCACAGAGTGGCGTGACACTTCCACAGCTTCTCCATCCTGTTAATAGTTTGGTGCGAGTGTTCATTGCAACATTCACCTCAGATATTTCCTGGTGTGCCTGCTCTCTGCTGCCTTTCTGAACTTTACCTATAACATTGAGACATGCGATTGAATTCTTCATAGAAATGCTAATGTTTGTATGGTTCTCAGGTTTCTCAACTATTGCAAGATTCCCCAGCATCTACCAGTGACAGTAGCATGCCACAACAAGGAGAGATGCTGGAGTGCAAGCAGTGAAAATAGAACGGCGGCACCTTTTGAAAGCCATCCTAAGCTGCTACTAGTGTAAGTAGCAACCTTGAGTACTGTTTTTTTTTTTTTTGTGCAGTTTGAGCAAATGCCTTGTGCTTTTGTTTTTCGAATCTATCAGGTGCACGCCTATCAGATACTGTATCTTAGTTTTGCATTTGCTGAGCTCTATGGTATACCAAAATGGGTGTTTTGCATTTGTTGAGCTCTATGGTATGCCAAAATGGATGTTTTTGTTGAGGGATAGTGAACACTAATGTTGTCATTTATTTCTTTTCAAGTTTCCCCCGATTCCCTGAAGAGATAGCATTTGGAAAGGACAGGAAGAAGCAAGGAGTTGCATGCCACCATCCAAAGCTCATAGTGTTACAGAGGGAAGACAGCATGCGTGTTATTGTTGCTTCAGCTAACTTAGTACCGAGGCAGGTCAGTTTTTTTTTCCTGCTCACTAATGGCTTAGCTTGAACTTTGTGCATTGTGTTTTCTCTTGTGAAGATCTGCTTCTATGGTCTTGCTGAAGGTTTACATAATTTATGCAGTGGCATCTCATAACAAACACAGTGTGGTGGCAAGACTTTCCTCGTAGAACATCCCTGGACTATGCAGCACTTTTTAGTGCAGCCAAGAAGCAAAAATCTGATTTTGCTGCTCAATTAGTATCATTCATAGCATCCATGGTCAATGAAGTCCCTAGCCAGGCATATTGGATAAATGAGATTGCTAAGTATGATTTTGAAGGAGCTGGTGGCTACCTCATCGCTTCAGTATCTGGAATACATGCACAAAGTCCTCCTTATTTGGAGTCTAATTATTTCCTTTCAGTAAGTTTAATTTTGCTAGCATGACACACTATTTTGCTGTTTAGCCCTTCTAGTAAGAATATCAAACATATACTACCTCTGATTCTAAACGTAGGTCGTTTAGGATCCTATTTGGTCAAACTTTCTTAACTTGGACCATCGGTATATAACAAGTTACATGCACTCACAACATATGGTTGATGTTACTACGTTCATCATGGGAATATTTTCAGAATATATAACTTTCATCATTTAAAATTATATATTTAACAAAAATTGCAAGTTATTGTCCTAACGGCCTACATTTGGAATCAAAGTGAGTATATCGTTTGCACCAAACAATATATTGCTTATAATTTGGATACTTTCTGAGGAAGATATTAGCGTAAGTGAACTTAATCCTAAGCTCAGAACTAGCTATTGCTTTGTCATTACTGGAAAAATAATAGCCTATTTTTATGGTGCCCTATTCCATAACTAGCTGTATCCACCGGTTTTTTCAGGCTAAACATAATGTACACACAAAATCTGCACATAGAATGTTTATTGGCTCTGTTCAAACATCTGTAGTTGGCCTATCCCATCGGTTTCACATGCCATCAGATGCTGGCAAACAACTAAGAGCCTTGTCTGCATTTCTTGGAAAATGCCGTGAGAATATGCATGGGACTACAGAAGTGATCTTGAAGAGGAACACCAATATACCTGCAGATGCTAATGCTGTGAGTGTCCTTGTTGCTGATCTGGATAAATTTTCTGAGGAAGGTATGCATAGTTCAATATGTGCACTTTTACTGAATGTGTGCCCAAAGGTGTTCTTCTGTGTTTCATGGTTCACGTGTAAAACAACAAATTGCTACCTTTATATTTTAATTGACCATATCCCAATGCCTTTCAGATTCTGTCCAACTTGGTTTCTTGCCTAGAGAGGTTGCTAAGTGGGTAGCTCCCCTCAGTGACTCAGGATTCTTCAATTTCTCTGGATTTATCTACCCTAGAGAAGCCCTGGAGGCTGCATATGGAGTAACTAATACTAAAGTGCAGTTGCTTCTATACGTATCAAAGGTATGCCAGAAAAATTTTAAGAAACCTTTCTCATAAGTTTGTACTACTATTGTGAAACTTCTCCATGCATATCCTAAACTGTTTCAATTAAATTCAGGGTCCAGAGTTTTCTCAAATTTCCAGGCTGATAAGCAATGAGCATTTTCCACCACTCTGCTCACTAATAGCATCCTTGCAGCGGTGCCTTGGACTTTGGCGGTTAGAAGAGGTCTATGATTTTATATGATGAAATTATGTGCATCTTTGATAAAACCATGCGATTTATAAACTAAACTAACATTTTTTTAAGATGATAATATTATTTGGTGAAATCAGTGTATACTTATTCTAAAATGGATAGTAGTGGTATGAAGCTGATCGACATAACTTAATACCTTTTTAGTCGTCACCATCTAGAGCAATACTTCCAATTTTCTCAGTTTGAAGACCTTTGCACTGCCTTTTGCATTTGTGATATCTAAACATAAGGAGTCAAGCAACAAATATTATGTCTTCAGTTGTTTTTGCCCTCACTCCTCTGTAAGGACATGTAAAATTGGTATTTGTAGTTTCTAAGGTTCTGCTTGGAATGGAAGAGTTTCACAGGGAACCTTCAATTTACAAAGGAACCAGGAAAATTTTCTGCCTTCCAATCAGAGCCTAAAACAGAAAAAGAACTGTACATTCATCAGAATCAATTCAGCTTTTACACTTATCTCTTGTTGCTAGGTCAGTTTGGTTTCTTGATTTGCACTTTGTAAGTTGCTCCATGGCTATTTAGTTGCTTATGTCACTTCTGTCCATACCACCTGTCCTCTTTACTGATATTAACCAAATTTTTCTAATTTAATTAACATTGATTTGAAGCAGGTATTGTCAAACATTAAGTGGCCTGAAACACTCGAGACTAATTTCATCTACAGTGAGAAAACAATCAATTTTGCTATACTGAAATAGTTACTCCATTCCAAATTATAAGTCGTTTTGGCTTTTCTAGGTTTATAGCTTTTGTTATGCATCTAGATATACACTGTCTAGATATGTAGCTTTTACTATGTATCTAGAAAATCCAAAACAACTTATAATTTGGAATGGTGGGAGTATTAGATTAAGTGTTTCCTACTCAGGTTAAATTATTTTATAGGTGCTTCATCCATTGGGACTTCAATTAATCCACAGTTCATTGCAAGCTTTGCTTCTGCTGCTGGTAAACGACCCCATCAGGATTTTGACTCTCAAGAATCTGATCCGGAGGTAATTCTTAACTGTTTACTGAAGCTTACTGTATTCTAGCAAATTACTGGAATATGTATATCTTTTCTTGATGGACATACCCACTTAAGTGTTCCTTAATTTTCGTAGTGGGGTTGCTGGACAACAAACCATGAGCTGAAGAAGCCATCAATCAGTCTGTTGTTTCCAACAATTGACAGGGTGAAAAAAGGGGCTTGTGGAATTCAATTGTGCAGGAATTTGCTTTCTCTACCTGAGGTGGATTTTCTTTTGACAACTCTAAACCTTTTGAACAATTTACAAATAAGAGCTCGTGATATATTTGCACTGTATTCAATATGGAAAGTTGTGCACATGAAATAGAAAATTCATGCTTTTCTAGTCATAGAAGCAAGTGCTGAAAATAGTGTAAATTTAGAGATTACCCTAGTAAGGTGTATGATATTACTTTTTGTGCCCATCTCACATGCTTCCTTTTGGCAGAAAACATGGCAAAGACTGAGATCTACCGGTATATTTCACGATGCAATCCCACAACCATATGCCAGGATAGGGCATCCTATGCATGTTAAGGTATAATCTTCTCAGGGAATATCATAGAATTAAACTTCCTTGGCCTTGTTTAGTTATTCATAAAATATTGAATGGTGGTTCAAGTTAAACAATGGCAGACATGACATACACAGCGTCATTTCTCTGAATATTATGGTTGCAGACATTGACAATGGGTTAGAAACAGCTGATGATTGTATGTGTGTTGTTTAAGTGAAGATGTTAGCGAGAAAAGTCCAATTATAGCTTTAAAAAAAAAAAAAAAACTTGATATTTACTCTTTCTTACTATGTCCTCAACTGCTAGCTAATGCTCTTGATATTCATCCTTTTTGGATAAGCTGTCTACCATCAACTTGGATAGACATGTCCTATGTGACTTGCTTCTGTTTACCTTATGTCATCGTTGGCTGATACAGATACTACATTAAAAAGTGATGAAATGTTCAATATTCTTGCATAAAATTCAGCTATGGTAGTGACAAATTTATCTATGTACCAGGTTGCTCAAAGACGCTTCAAGTCTTGTTTTGATGAGCATTCATTCGGCTGGACTTATTGTGGGTCTCACAATTTCAGTCCGGCTGCATGGGGACAGCCTCTATCTCCTCCCTCCAAAGCAAATCCTAGTGAAGCCAGATCAGCACCTTCTGGTCCGAGGCTGCACATTTGCAACTATGAGCTCGGCATCATACTCATTGCTCCACCACCAGGCATGTCAAAGCATGCAAGTGAAAGTAGGCACAGGATCGAGGGCATCGCCCTGCCATTTGTTGTCCCTCCACCACGATATAAGGGGAGTGATAGGCCAGCGACTCGGCTGGCCATGCGAGAGGCTGTGGCTCAGGCTTGTGTTCTGCAGGGTAACGATGTTGTAGATTTGTCAGAGGATACTGACGAAGATGTGCCAGATGAAGATGATGAGCAGGTGGTTGAGCTATCTGATTGTTCTCAACAAGAGAAGGAAGAAGAGAAGATGTATGCAGAGACGCTATGGGGGCAGGTAGATTCTTCACAGAGCCAGGAAAAGGATTAAGTGAAAGCTTGCGTCCAGTTCTTGATGCAGTCCCATGGATCTATTTCGCCCTGATAATTCAATGGAGAGGGGTTATAAAGAGAGCACAGTACCAAAGGTTGATTGATATGACAGACATGTTTGATAAGCTGTTGTTGGAAGCTTCGGATTCGCATGTTTCAAGCGAACTGAAGTTTGTGAAGGACTGTTGTTGTATTGTCTGACGACCAGAGAGAGAGAGGCGGCCTGAGCGACGATTCTTCATTGTCCCATTTTTCATGTTTCAGATTAACATTTATGGTGTAGATATCATGTCATGTTTTCATGTATTTCATTTTTATAGGAATTCATTCTTGTATTGGAAAATATGGCTTTCTCATTCACCTAATGAGAGACAAATGTATACATGATCTGCTGAATGAATAATTACATATACTGAAACTGAAGATGTGGCATATTCAATTTTGCATCCCATTCGTTGCAAATAAACAGCATCCAAATATCCCAGCCATCCAATCGGATGTGGTATAGTTGTTCATGCAGCCTGAGGCACGACGGCACGAAGCTCTTTTTTAGCCCGACACGAGCCCGGCCCGGCCCGGTGATGTGCGGGCCTGGGCTGGCCCGGCCCGAGGGAGCAGGCCGTGCCTGGGCCGCTGCTCAGGCCCATGGGCTGGCACGGCATGGCCTGGCCTGAGTCGGTCGACCTGGCCTACCCCCTCCCCCTCCTCACTCATCCTCCCCTCCCCAAGGCCCAGCGCGGCCGGCCCACCTTCCCTCTCCCCCCCTCTGCATATAAAAGCGCACGGGTCGGCTACACAGCGCAAGCTCGCCCTCGCCTGGCTCACCCTCCGTCCCCCTTTCCCACACGCGCAAGCTCGCCCTCACCTGGCTCGCTCCTCCGTCACCTCCCGCGAGCTGCCCCTACCTCCTCCTGCCACGCGCGGGTGCGCGGCCGTCGCCTCTAGCCGGATCCGCCTCGGGTGCGCGGCGTCGAGCTCGGCAGCAACAGTAGCGTCGAGCGGGCGGCCTCCTCCATCCTCCACGGATCCGGCCTCCTCCATCCTCCTCCTGGCTCCTGCCGCCGGATCCGGCAGTTGCCGCCAGCCTGGCACCTCCCGTGACTCGAGCAGCTCGCGCCAACGGCCTCCCCTCCCCCGCCTCTCTCTCTCTCTCTCTCTCTCTCTTGGGGCTGTGGTTGCGGGCTTCGGGATGGCCCGGTCCGCACGGCCGCACTCGCACCCCGCTTCTCCCCATGCGCGACGCGGGAGACGGGCCTCCTGCCCTCCATGCCACCCACTGTCGTCGCCGCCGCCGTTTTGACCTTGTCCTCCATCCTCTCTCCCTTCCCCTATTGATGCGGGCCTCGGGCTGGCCTGGCCTGTTAAAAAGGCCGTGCTTTCTGGGCCGGCCCGGCCCGGAAAGTGGCCCGACGGGCCGTTGGCTAGGCACGGTGGACTGGGGCGGCCCGGCGTGCTCTACCGTGTCGTGCCCTACCGGGCCGGGCAGCCCGAATGGCCATCTTTAGATGTGGACCAGACGTCATATTTTTGAGCCTTTTCCCTGTGTACCATTAAAAAAGATGGCATTTTCCTACAGGCCACTAAAAAGTTCGGACTTACCTAGGTGCCATGACACTTTATTTCTTTGCCCCCAAGCCATTTCGTCCACGTTCTGTTTGGTTTTGACAGTTTCAAAGCCCTGACAGGTGGAACCGGACAGGAAATTTGTCCGTCTTACCCTTTGAGATAGAGGGGCATATGAGGGAGAGGCCGTGTTGACCGACCTTGACCGCCATCGTATTCTCACTCTCGCTTCTCTCTCGTTCTCTTCCCCAAACCCTAGCTGAGGCGGGCGGCGGTGGACGCGGAACCCTAGCGGCGGCGGCGGGTTGAGAAGAAGATCAATCCCCCGTGCTTCTGGTGTCGAATGGGGTAGTCCTGCTTGGAGTTCACCGTGGATCCAGAGGATTGGCCGTGTATGGCGTTGAAGAAGGGTGCGGGCGAGCGACCGAACTTGCGAGCTACGGGGTGAGTGTTATTCCCCCCTAGATTGCATGCTCCTTAGTATGGATCGATTAGGTCGGGTAGTTGTGAATGTGGATGCTTAGGGTCCGTCTTGTTGATTGTGGTGTTGTTCCCCGTTGTTTGCGTTCTCCTTGATTGCGTGCTCCTTGTTGTTCATCTGTATGATGGACGCAGACAATAGCTTCAACCTAGAAATATGGATTGTTACTCCCAATTCGCGTGCTCGGTGGTTTTCTTTGAACAAAGTTGTGGATGCTGAGCTTACTAACTTCGAAGATCTAGTTCGTGATGTTGTTGACAAGTATCCACCCGATTTCGGTGAGGTAGCTCGACTGTTTTATTTCTGCAATCAGAGTAAGGTCAACGTTGAAGTAAGGAGTGACCAAGATATGCGTGAAATGTTTGCTAAAAGTAATGAATCAAAGTGTTGTTTCTTGACTGTTGCCTATAATAGGCCAACTAGTGAGCCACAGATTCCTGATTGGGATTTTAGTCCCCCTGCCAACTCTGTTGAATCCCCATTCACTCCTTTAGTCCACTGTCCTACCAGAGCAGAAGCAAGCAATGCCTCCCAGAGTGCCACCCAGAGTGAATGTGCTGAACCTGAATATCTGGCTAACCCAAACCCATCCAATGAGCATGTGGGTGTTGATGAGGAAGGGTTGTACATTGACCTTGGCCCCCAACATCCCCCACCTACCAAACCTCACAGTCAAGTTTGCAGTAAGCAAAGGCAGCCTGAAAGTTCTGATGGTTCAGACAGTGATGACTCTGACGATGAATCCTTGTCTGATGATGATAGTGAAGTAGAGGACTTAGATAACTGGGAGGTTTAGGGGCCAGTTGTGCATTTCCTGTGCAGTTGATGGGCACAACTGGATGTACCCAGTAGCAGTAGGTGTCATAGATTCTGAAACCAATGAAAATTAGGTATGGTTCATGGGAGGTTGAAGGAAGCAATAGGCGGTCCACACTGGCTTACTTTCTCCTGATTGATTGTGGCCAGCGTTGATGAATGGAGTTAGTGAAGTGTTTCGAAGAAAATTTGAACATAGGGGAGTGTATGTACCATCTAGTATAGAATTTCAAGAAGAGGTATAGTGGTAAAGTTTTTTGATGAGCACTTGTGGGCTCTCGCATATTCTTGGAGTACATATATGTTTGATAAGCATTATCAGCAATGGTCACGCCAAAGCGAAGCTATGAAGTACCTTCAAGACACTCACAAGAAGCTATGGACTAGGAGCCAGTTTAGCCTTTGCCTCAAAAGTTGATTATGTGACTAACAACTTGGTTGAGTCTTTCAATAAGCTGGATAAAAGGGTGAGAAGCGAAGCATCTGGATGACTTGATGGACTGAGATCGCAGACGGAAGATATTGATCAAATGGAACCATAGGAAGAGGGTGGCCACTAAGTTTGAAGGAAAGATTTTGCCCCATATATTGCAGAAGCTAAAGGATGACAGATTACAATCTTGATATTGAAGTGATCACAAGCTCTCCTGAAGGTGTTTGCGAAATTTGTGCTAAGGGGGGTGCAGGTTTAGGTTTGTGGTGGACTTAAGAAATAGGACCTGCTCTCTGAGAGTCTGGCAGAGTCGGGAATACCCCGCAAGCATGCTATTGCCTACATCACCTCAATTCCGGTGCAAGACTAGAAGATCATGTAGATGATTTCTTCTCGTCCGAAGTTCAAGGATGCCTATCTGTGCTCTATCCCATGCATTCTGACAAGTCCATGTGGCCCAAAGCAACACATGGCTTCTTCATGCACCCTCCATGTCTCAAGTCCACTGGTGGTAGGAGGAAGAACAGGATGAAGTCAGCTGTTGAGGGAGGCAGTAAGAAGAAGTCAAAGAAGCATGAGTGTCCTATATGCCATGAGTTAGGCCACCACTAGTACACCTGCAAGAATGGGAACCCAGAAGACATTACTGCAATGGAGGCTGAAAGGTAAACATGTACTTTATTTTCATTTGTCCTATAAATTAAATACATGTACTAACTATAAAATTGTCCTTTGCAGGGGTCTCCCAAAGAAAAGGTAGAAGAAAGTAGCAAGTTACAATACAAAGACTAGCCTTGTTGTGAAAACTCTTGCATCAGGCATGATTTTCCCACACAATGAGGCAGTGGTCAATGCTACACACCAGAAGAGGAAGAGGAAATCATCTTCTTCATCAAAGGGTCTAGCTACCAGTACATCAGCTACCAAGAAAAGTAAGGGCCCAGCTACCAGTACATCAACATGTCATACAAATTCCCAGACTAGTAGGTAAGCATGATCCAATTCTGCATTTGCACTTTTTGATGAAACTGTGTGCTTGACCTTTCCTGGTACTTGACTATAACAGGTCTGGAACCGGTTCCAATGACCCTGTTCCCCTCCAGTCTGTGTATCTTGCCCAATTCCGTGAAGAGACTGTGCACACAGAACCAATGGAGGTTGTTTTGCCCCAGCCTTCACCAAGGAAGAAGATAGGGTTGAAGAAGAAGCTTACACCAAAAAAGCTTTCAATTGTGCCAGCCTACCCAGCCAGCCCAGCTTCTAATACCAGGAGCAAGAAGAAGGTAGATGAAAGGGTCGAGATGGCGGACTAGAGGGGGGTGAATAGTCTTTTCTAAAAATAATCGCGTCGGCTAACCGATATAAATGCGGAATTAAAACAATCGGTCTAGCCAAGACTACACCCCTCTATATATGTTCACTAGCACCTTACAAAGATACTAATAAAGCAACTAAGGTGCCGGGCTAGCTAGAGCTCTCCTAAACAATTCTAGAAGCAAGGTCACACAAACCTATGCCACTAGTACTTTAAGTATCAAGGGAGCTCCTACACATGCTAGTAAGCAAAAGCACAAAGCTAACTAAACTCACTAGCAATGCTCAATAACAAGGCAACCAACGCCTAATTAAAGAACGTAAATACTTAGCTACACAAACTAAGCAATGTGACTAACAAGGTTACTAAAACCAAATTAGCCACGCAAGGGAGCTACTTCTATGCTACACAAGCAAGAAGGTAATTAGCTAGCTACACAAGCTATCTAATTACAAGAGCAACTACACAAGCTTAAGATATATATATAAGTAATTGCAAGCTTGTGTAATGGGGATGCAAACCAACGGGAAGAACAAGGTTGACACGATGATTTTTCTCCCGAGGTTCACGTGTTTGCCAACACGCTAGTCCCCGTTGTGTCGACCACTCACTTGGTGGTTCGGTGGCTAATTAGCATCACCCGCTAAGCCCGCACGTCGGGCACCGCAAGAACCTACCCCTTGAGTGAGGATAGCTCAATGACACGCTTTACTAAAGTTGCTCTTCGCGACTCCCGCGGGGCGAGCACAAGTACCCCTCACAAGCACTTCTCCGGAGCGCCGCACAAGCTTCTTGCGGGCTTCGACAGAGACCACCACCAAGCCGTCTAGGAGGTGGCAACCTCCAAGAGTAACAAGCACCACCGGCTCGCAACTCGATCACCTAGTGCCACTCGATGCAACCTCATGATGCAATCGCGCTAGAATCGCTCACTCACACAATCGGATGAACGCTATCAAGTATGTGTGTGACGGAGGGCTCCCAAGCACTCACAAGCATGGACACTAAGTCCCTTGAGGTGCTCAACCACGGCCATGGCCGAGGGCCACTTCTATTTATAGCCCCAAGGGCTAAACTAGTCGTTACCCCTTCATTGGGCAACGGTCGGGCCGACCGGACGCTCCGGTCGTGTTGACCGGATGCTGGACCTCAGCGCCTGGTCGCCCGCAGACGGCCACGTGTCCTGATTCCAACGGTCACTTGACTTGACCGGACGCAGCAGCTAACAACTGACCGGACGCTGAACCCCCAGCGTTCGATCGTTTCCAGTAAGGTACCGACCTCGACCGGACACGTCCGGTCACACTTGATCGGACGCAGCCAGTGTCCGGTCACACTCCAGCTTCTGCGTCATCGTACGTCAGCCTGACCGGACGCAGCCTGCCAGCGTCCGGTGCATTCAGATCCAGCGTCCGGTCAGTTGACCGACGCCAGCATCTTCGCGACTAACTCGTTTTCACTTCTAACTTCATCACCATTGCTCCAATGTGCTAACCACAAGAACTTGCATCCGGCGTAATAGAAAATAGGCATTCTATTTTCTGAAAGCGCTGAATCCCGCCTCGCAAGCTCGGCGGGAGGGAGAGAGGGACCCAAACCCATCTCACCCCTGCAAACACCACCTCCTTTGTAAATGTGCCAACACCACCAAGTGTACACCACCATGTGTATGTGTGTTAGCATTTTCACAATCATTTCCCAAAGGATGTTAGCCACTCAACTTGCCACGCCACTCGATCCTAGCAACAATGCAAAGTTAGATCACTCGAGTGACACTAGATGACCGATATGCAAACAAGTTTGCCCCTCTTGATAGTACGGCCATCTATCCTAAACCCGGTCATAAACTTCTCTACACACCTATAACCGGTGAAATGAAATGCCCTAGGTTATACCTTTTCCTTGCGCATTCTATTCCATCTCCTTCAATGTCGATGTAACACATACACCAACACGATCAACAATGATATGATCCACTTCATATCATCACATGATCATATTGGTTCATCGATCTTGACTCTACTTGCTCTTCACCGTTGCTATTGTCCATCGGTGCCAAGTCTTGCTCAAGCTTCACCGCCACGCGGTCCATCACTCCAAAGCCTTTGACTTGCCCTTCACGCTTGCAACCGGTCCATCAAGCCAAGTCTTGTCTTGATCTTCTCCACCTTGATCACATGACTCAATGTCATGTTTCATGTGCAATAAGCTCCTTCATCATCACATGTGTGAGCTTTGCAACATCTCCAAGCCATTTTCACCTCCATGGCATATGTTGCTCATACACATGTACCTGTGGACTAATCACCTGTGTATCTCACATAAACACAATTAGTCCACCTAGGTTGTCACTCAATTACCAAAACCAACAAGGACCTTTCAGTAGGGTTTAAATGAAAACCACCTGTGTTTAGTTGTTATTTTGGTGATTTGGCTGCAAAAACTACTGCTGCTTTGCTATCACTTTATTTTGGCATGACTGTGATGTAAGATGAAACTGTGATGTGAGATGAATGACTATGAGATGGAACTCTATTGGTTAGATAAAACTTTGTGAGATGTTATTTTTTTGAGATGTCAGAATTACTATGTTATCATAAATTAGATCATAACTCTGATGAAAACCATTCATTCATGCATTACTAGTCTTCATTCAAACACACACATACACAGTCTGCATACATAGGGCCTTACTTTTTCATGATAGCATACAAAGCAAGAAAGATGCACACAAACACCAGCTTTTCAATCCACCTAAGCTGCTGAAGAACCCTATCTTCCACTACTGCATTGCCTACAATTCTAGCCGACTGGGAATCTTCCTAGACGATGGCCAGAGGAGCTGCTGTAGAGATAGGAGCTGGTGCTGCCACTGCCTGCAGAGGAATGGCCTGTAATGGAGCAGGTGCTTTAGGTGGGTGCACAACAGTGTCCTCCATTTTGTCCTCCCATTGATAAAACCGGCACCCTCTGGCCTATAAACAACAGCATCAACAGATTAGCACCAAACAGGAAATAAAAAACAACCTATGAATGAATGAGTAAGGAAGAAAAACGAACTGCAAAGTACAGGCACTTATGGAAAGCACGATTGTGGTTGTTCGTAGTCATCGATATGAATCGATTAGCTAGCACACTACAGTTGGGGCACATGACCCACCTGGGCCTCCTCCCATAGCTGCTTGACGCTTGAGATATGGCACTGGCAGCAAGGTAGCAGGAGAGATAAAAAGGAGAAGAATGAGTGAGAAGGGAGGGCTGAGGGCCTATTTATAGCACCAAGCGGGGTCTCTTTGGCGCCAAGTCCAGTGCCTTTGACGTCAAAAAACTTGCCCACGTCAGCTGTCTTGGCGCTCAAACGCTTCGTCAGGGAGTGACACACAGGGCAAACGGCAATTTCACTCATCCTCCCTAGACTGAGGGCACTTCGATCTTTTCTCCTCGCCGTTACACATCGTTACCAGCAAAAATGGACAGAATGACTTGAAGGGCAGAGAAATAAAGTGTCATAACACCTAAATAAGTCTGAATTTTTTAGTAGCCTATAAAAAAAAATTTAACGGTACACGAGGGAAAAGGCTCCATATTTTCCCCGTGGTTCGTCGTTTACTGGTTTCCGAGCAGAAATCCGCAGGAAAACAAGCGAGCGACGTGGCAGCGGCTAACGGGACGCCTCACTCCAGTAGTCCAGCTCCAGGCTCCAGCAGCCCACAACCACGGGCAACGCGAAGCAAGCAGCCCCACGCGGCCACGCTCTGCGCCACCACCTGCCGCCCGTTCCCGGCTCGCCGCCGCCGTTGCGCCCTCGCGCTCACACCTCCGCCAGCTCAGGTCCATCGAGCGGAGAAACCCATGGCCCCCTCGCCGCTGCTCGTCCGGCCGCCGGCGATGGCGAATTCACCCCTTCCGCCTACCCGATGCGCGGCCGCGGTAGCAGCGGCGACGGCGATTCGGACGGCTCCCGCAGCCCCACTCTCTAGGTTATCTTATGCTCCCTGGCCCCTGCTGACCGACCCCTCTCATCTGGCGCATGCTCTCCTCGTTTTCTGCAAAATTTCGTGGTGTGGTGACATGGTTTCTCTTGATCGCGCAGGCTCCGTACCAAGTGTAGGTTCGCCGCATCGGATGTGAGAGAAGACTACCCATCCATTCCGATAGATATTGTCGCTGATGTGAAGACGGAAAAGGCATGGGTTTCCGCAGCTCAAGTTCTCTAACATTCAGCTTTTGTTAGGTTACTAAGCCGATTTCCCCCCACCATTCTGAACTGTTTGTCGGCGGTTGCAGATTGTGGTGTTGGGAGGAAGTGGATTCGTTGGTTCTGCGATCTGCAAAGCTGCTGTCTCTAAAGGCATTGAGGTTGTGAGCTTCAGCAGGTACTTCTTTTGCTCTTCTCTGTGATGAACATTTCTGTGCTGTATACCCTGTAGAAGCAAATAGGTGATGTATAAATCATTTCAACTATGTAGCAGTTGTAACTTTCACCATTTCTAGCATATTTTAAACGATTTTAAGTTTAGATTAGATTCTTCATCTATTGATTTTCTTTAGCAGCCCCTTTATTTTACTAAATTGGGTCAATAGTCTCTGTTTGGTAATGAAAAATGAGAGGTGGATACAGTGTTCTGGGTACCAAACCTGCTTTATGTACAAATTTACACGTTCTACTTGATTGTGTGTTGATGGGCAGGTCAGGAAGACCATCTTACTCTGATCCCTGGGTTGATCAAGTCAATTGGCTAGCAGGTATTCTTGTAGTATTATATGCCGTTATAGGAGTTTGATTATTAGATTTTGCTCCCTCACGTTAGCTAACTGCTTTACTTCCCCAACCTGTTGTGTCTAGTGTGTTAATATTGATGGTTTGCCTCCCAAATTATACCTTTATCAAGTGATTGAGGATACAACTGAATTGAGAATGAGAATAATAAGATTCTTATCCAGAGTAATAGCTGTTCTGTAAGAAATGTATTATGTATGATCCCTGTTAAACTTGTACTCAACAAACAAAATTTTATATTGCTGCCATGCTGTAATATGTATGATCCCTGTTGTACTTGTACTCAACAAACAATTTTGTATTGTCATCATTCTGCCATACTTTGTTTGGGATATTAAAATGAACTGTATAAGGCAATTTCTTTAAGTTTATACAATATTCTATTGATGTCCTGTTGCTTCTGAGTGCTGAGATAAGACATATATGCACATATATTGATTATTGCAAAATAATGTAGCCCTGTACATAAGACTGTTTCTTACTTTAGCCTTGCTCACTGGCTTACTGCATGGCTCCTTATTCATGAAAAACTGCTTTAACAAAGTGCAACAGAGAATAAACTGGATTTCCTGTTGGCACCTTATTCCTGCAACTATGTGGCAGGCCCACATGGTGATAGTCTACTTTCAAGAATCAAGAGTCTGTGATTTACATGTTGTCTGGCACTCTAATATTCAGTTAAGCACCTTAATGTGATGTAGGAGATGTTTTCTATGCAAGATGGGATGAAGCATTGATTGGGGCTACCGCTGTTGTGTCTACCCTTGGAGGATTTGGCAATGAAGAACAAATGAAAAGGATAAATGGTGAGGCAAATATCATAGCAGTAAACGCTGCAAAAGAATATGGTAAGTATTACGTAGTGCACTACGTTGATGCCAATTTGTATGCAACTATGCTCTATAGACAAATTTTCATGAGATTGATTTGACTGAACTAAGATTGTTCAAATCAAACTATAGTAGTCTGTAACTTCTCAAGTGTCGGTACATCTAGTGTAACGACAAAGTTTTTAGTTGTAGAATTTTTGTTAGAGAACTTGCTTTCTGGATTTAATCTTCTCAAGGAATAACATCAAAGAGAAAGAAGTGGATTGTTGTTTTACCATACCATTTCCTTTTGGATTGAAATAAATATATTCATGTGTTCATTTACAGGAGTCCCGAAGTTCATTTTAATCTCTGTACATGATTACAATCTTCCATCCTTTCTTCTTACCTCGGGTTACTTCACTGGTAAGAGAAAGGCGGAATCTGAAGTCCTTTCCAAATACCCAGCCTCAGGTTAGAAATACTGCACACCATTTATCGTCAGTTTTTCTCTCTCTCGAATTTATATATTCTTGTCATATATTGGATCTGCTTTTCTTTTACAGGTGTTGTGTTGAGGCCAGGCTTCATTTATGGTAAAAGGAAAGTAAATGGCTTTGAGGTACCGCTTGATGCTGTTGGACAACCATTGGAGAGGTTGCTCTCCTCTGTTGAAAATTTCACCAAACCATTGAGCTCACTGCCTGCCTCTGACCTAATCCTTGCACCCCCTGTGAGCGTGGACGATGTTGCCTACGCGGTAATCAACGGAGTCATAGATGACAGCTTCTTTGGGGTGTTCACCATTGAACAAATCAAGGAAGCTGCAGCCAAGGTAAGAGTGTGAATCTGTGGTCTTGTTCCCCAGTCTCTGAATGTATTATAGGTGGAAAGTTCGTAAACTCAGCAGTAACTCATGATCCTTGTGTTCTTTCTTTCTTTCTCCCTGAATCTTTGACCATAGTCAATAGTTCAAAAGTCAGTGCACGATTTTTTTTTCTGCTGGAATTTTCTAGCACTTGAGACTTAAGAGCTAACAAAATATATAGTACCGTGGGTCACATAATTGTTACGTTGGTTCACAATCTTGATGGAGGTGAGCGGCATGAGCTCACAATCTTGTGAATGTGACATTAGACCCATTTTCAACAACCTGCACTTCGAACCATGTTGATGTTTTTACCAGATGGTTTCCCACAAAATGTTTTTGAAGTGTAAATCATATGCATCATTGATTAGATCAACTCAATTAAAAAAGACGCTATGTTCACAAAAGAACGACCCAATGTTCACGTGAATCCAACATGCCAAGTAATTGACTCTTTTGCCCTTCCGTGTATCACTTGAGGCTCTTTTGCCCTTCCTACATGGCGTGCAGAGTGCTCTTTTGCCCTTCCTCCAAGCCCGGCCAGCGGCCATGGCATCGTACTCGTGCATACGATACATGTACATGGGCGTGCAGCGTGCTCATCGTCTCCGGCAGTGCAGCGGCACCCTCCCTATGAGCACTACCGCCAGCGTTGCCACGATGGTCCCTCAGCTGCGCCGTGCACCCGAGGGCCAAGTTCCGCACCACCGTCGGGAACGGATGTTCATGCAGTGCTTTAGTGGCAATTGGCAGCAGCTGTCCTGCTGATCGACCTGCCAGGTCAAATGGACGGAGAATCGAGGGCTACCCTACCTCATGACACATTGACAGATCACACATGCACCGGTCGCTGACTCGCTGGCGATGAGAATTTCCGGCAGTGCAGGGCTGCAGGCGTTGCCACCGAGCGGCATCATGGCAAATCCGAGCGATGAGCAGCACTGCAGCAGGTAGGTTTTCTATGGGCTGAATGGCTAATGCATTCTATAGGGAAAGTGAACGTGAAACACTGGGCAGTTCTCGACAACGTCGTTGAAACTGAATGAAAGATTTGCTGTGATCATGACAGTGGAACAGAGCAGAACAGCTTCAGTCCACATGATCATGCCAACGGCAGGCAGATTAAGGGCGACAGCGCATCTGCGACTCATGAAGCATTTCAAAATTTCAAGTTTTCAACCTGGTGCATACACGGCCAATCACGGCAGATACGAACAGTAACAGGAGCACTACTTTCACCACAGAAACTCCACGCTTATTCGGTTGGACGGACGACATGCCACGTCTGACCGACCACTCTCGCGTCGCGCCTACTACTAGCTAGTACGGCTTGAGGCAGTCGTAGAGGCGGCGATGCTCCGACGGCCAACCAACAGCAGCCTCCCCCGCCGCTGCTGCGGCCGGCGACTGCAGCGCGCTCGCAGTTGGGGATCTGACGCCGGACGACAGCGACGCGCCGGTGGGCGTCAGGCACTGAGCCGGCGCCCTCGGGCTCTCCCAGCCTGCCAGCAGCGCCTGCCGGGACGCGTCGGGGTTGCCCTCCACCCGCAGCATCTGCAGCTGCCGCCGCCTCTGCTCCCTCCTCAGCTCGTTGCGCTTGTTCACGTAGTCCTCGTGGATGAACACCTCCATCCTCTTCTCAATCCCACTGTGAACTAATACTACTACTGCACACTATCATTCATCAAACTATCCAAGAACCTAACAGCAACACAAGCACAGAGAGGAGGAAGAGGGAGTGCTGTGGTGGAGAACTGCACTTGTATATAGAGCGATTCACCCAGATCCAGGTGTTGTTAACCATGGAGGTCACTGTCAGTCGCTTTTGCCTTTAACCAATTTCACAAGGCAGCTGCCATTAGTCCATGCCAAGTGTGAAGTCCACAATGGCACAAAAATAAGGGTACTTGGAGCCTGTGGTGGCAGTAGTTTTAACCAGGACGTCGCTGTCATTGATGCACAAAAAAAACGCAAGAATCGGAGGATTAGTGGCTGGCGTACTTTGGCAGAGCAATACAGCGGTGTATTCCAGGTTAGACTAGGCCGCGGGACGCTGTCCCTGTCCACGCTCCACGGGGAATTTTCAATTCGGAAGATTGGGAGGTGGTTGCCTGCTCGCCGCGGCATGGAATTGTGGACAGAAAGCACAAAAGAGCTAGAGGTGTGGTGGATCTGTGGTATGTGCGCTTAGATTCATCACGCACCACATAATATCTTCTTCGAATTAGTGGCTGGTGGTATCAGTAAATCCTCTGCACTGGACTGGTTTTTGCATGGTTTCCAAAATCTAGTCCACATGGACCACTATCTCAAATGTTTGCCCTTTTATTTTTGGAGACAAAAACATTTGACAATATTTTTTCGAAAGGACGGCAAAAGCTTTGCCGTAATTTTTATTAGTAGAGAAAAAGGAAAACAAAGGCATTTGACAATATTGTCGGACTAGAAAACCATAAGACTTCATTTCAAGCAAATTCATACCATGAGTCATAAATTTACGATTCACAGAAACAACAAAAATACTTAGCAGAGAAAGATTGGCAAACGGAAACTGAAACGATCTACCACTCTGCTCATGGACTCATTAGCTCAGGTACGAGCCTCCATGTATGATTCATGCACAAAAGTAGGTCAAATCCATGTGCACCTTGTGATTGAACAAAAGGTTTTGTTCAATTCCCAAATTTCAAAACAATATATACATCTTTATTCGGTTTATTGACTACCACACCATTCTCAACAAAAAACCATGTAGTTTGAAACAGACACGTATGCAAACACCCACAAAAATTTACCAGCTGATAGCCCGTCTCTCTAGCTCTCCATTCTTTCACAAGGATGTTGATGCAGTCGTCGTCCTCTGTGCATTTCCAAGGATGATAACAATGACAGTCACATCATCGTGGTACTTTCTCCTACTCCCAACAGGTATCCTCATCAATTCTTCGGCTGTTAAAGCTGAGAAAATAGAAAGAAAGCGATTAGGAGTTGCTGAGTTAGCATTGATGCAGGTTGATATGAAATGATTTCAAAGATGCTGATTACATAGGGGGAAAAAGATACAAAACTATATCAAACAAATCCTGATGCTTCTAATATAATATGGAAAACGAATTGTGCAGATGACTCATAGATTAATGATCCGCAAGGCAATAGCCCTCTTAACTGTTTGATATTTCAATCATAAAAATTCAAAATATAATTTAGAGGGTACCTGCTTCCTTGGCTGCTTTGAGTATAAGTTGCTCGATGAGATACTTTGCAGGATCCCCCATTGGATTATCATGCATAAATTGATAAACCAACTGAACAACTTCATCATTACTGAAGAAATCAAATAAGCCATCACTACCAAGCACAACAAACAAGTCATCATCCGTAACTTTGTGACTCAATGTGTGTGGATTTGTGTAAACATATGGAGGGCTGCTCAAATCGCGGACTCGTAGAATGCCCATGAGTGCATCATTGAACTTCCTCTGCAAATTGACCAAAAAACAATGGTTACAACTGTAGCAATGATACGAATTTTATTCACTTATCCAAGAGTAATTTGTCACCTGCTTTAGATAGCCAACTCCAAAAGCACGAGTAACCTTCAGCTTTCCTTTTATTTTGTTACCCCTGACAACTGAAGGATCATTGGGATGGTCAGCTAAAAGTCTTTGGTACTCCAAAGGATTTTCAAGCGAATGGGTCTCTGTCAGTTGAGTAGCCATCAAAGCACCATTTTCTGCATATGGCATGGAAGCAAGCACAGCTCTACTGTCCCCCATATTTAAGATGCACAGATCTGTTCCATGAAGAAGTACAACCAGAACACAAGACCCTACTGAAACTAAATCTGGTCTATCATCCATCTCTTGTTCAACCATGCACAGAAAGTCATTCTCAGCTTGCTCAACAGCAGTAGAAAGGCAATTCAGCACACCAGCTCGAAATGTTTCAGAAAATTTGATGTCTTCATTTTCTGAATTTCTCATGGCAAGTGTTAACTCACTTTTAAGACCATTGAGAGAGATTTCTGATGAATTGTATAAACCATTTTGTTGCTTGATCCGATTCTCCAGCAGGTACAAGTAATATACTATGTTATCATATAGAGTTACCGCAAGAAAATCAGCTGCATCCCTCCCATTAAACCCATCATATATTCCACAAATCAGCCATCCATTTTTCTCTGAGCACACAGCTTGGACTCTATCCTCTCCAGCAGCTCCGCCAGCCATTTTCACCTCTGTATTAGTCAGAAAATTGGATGATACAGTTGTTGGGGCACTGGACCTCCAAAGATTTTTACTGATCTCAATTATAGAGCTCTCAGTTGACACAGGGCTGCCTTGTGAGGTGGATAACGAGTCCAATCTTGACATTGATGGAGAAGAAACAATTTTTCTAAAGGCATTTGGAGAATCTAGTTCTGGTAAAATTTCTTCGCCAATAAGGCCATTGCAAATATTTGTATTTGCCAGTGTAAAATTTGCACTAATAGCAGCACCAGATAAACAAGTAAATGAGCCATTTCGTGACCCCATCATGGTATTAGTCCCAAATATGTTCTTAGGAGAAATGCCATTCCCATGATCATTTTCAGGAGAAAAGCTCTGATAAGAATCACAATGGTATCCAAAGCTCACATTGAGATTGCTACAACTCTTGACAAGCATATCTTCTTCCTCAGAGCTGATGCTGTGATCGCTAGTGTCCTTATAAAACAGTTCTACGTCCACCATGTTTTTCTATAACAGTATAACACCAGTGTGACGTAATACTGCCGGAACACTTTGTTTTCTATAGGTTCCGATGGTATTCAAATGCCATGCCAAATACTGCTTCCTTTATACTTGATCGGAAATGCAAACCAAACCTGCAATACTAAGCACAAAGTATTTTAAAAAATATTACCAAGCTAATGATCCAAATACACATCATTGCTTTAGTGTTAAAACCACTGTAAAAGAACAAAAAAGGGTGAAGTACTCTTTGATAAGCTAATAGCAAGGTGATTGTAAATTAGTATGTTCCAGCCTACTAAATCTGTAGATCTGTGCACAAGAATTGCAAAGGATGGCATCTCAACAAGGCAGAGGGCTCCTTCTCTAGTTCTGGGCATAGTATGGTTGTGACTGCAGTACAATTGATCCTCTGTTTTAATATAAATATATATGACAATTCACAGGGTTCAAATCCGGGTGTTCATCTATTTAGATGCTTGTGAGTTTAGTGGTTGCGTGCATCCCTAGCCAGTGCAAAGGTTAGAAGTTAGACTCCCTTCATCTAAATAATGTATTCCTTCCTGATAACATGGTACTAACTCCGTCCCTAAAAGAATGCATTTTTAGGTTTGAACCAGTCAAACTCTCCTAAGTTTGACTAAGTTTATGACAAATAGTATCAGCATTTATTACTTCAAATAGATATAATATGAAAATATATTCCATGGTGTATCTAAAGTTAATCATTTGGCATCGTAAATATTAATATTTTTTTGTATAAACTTTGCTAGATTTGAGATGAATTGATTAAAAAGAAAACTAGAACTGCATTCTTTCTAGGATGGAGGAAGTAAGTTTGTTGGACTATTTTTCCACCTGGATTTAAGAGCGCGGAAATAACATATTAGGTGCCAATCGCCACTAATGAAATAAGAGAGCTCAAGTTTGACTTGTGCAGGTTGTAATATTCGTCTGTTCCCGCATCACAAACTTTTATATGAGGAAATCAAAGGCCACCAGGCTACAGCCGCCTCCACCTTGAATTGTACAAACCTACCCTCTTAGTTCTTATCAAAAGTGGATACACCGGTTCTAAACTCTGGCAGTACTTGCTGCTAAGCAAGAAGATATGACCCACCGGACACAGTTTGCGAAGAAATATGACCGAGTTCTACAAGATCCAAATACAACAACTGAAGAAAAGAAGGAAAATGATAGCCTCCCAATCAAGAACAACATCGTTCGGAGTCAGAGCGTAGAGAGTTTTACTCTTGAGCAAGACATGTAGGGGAACAGAGAGAACACAGTAACCTGAAGTGAGTAGGGGTTGTTTCGCATACGACCGGAGCACACGGCGGCAGCTAAATGAACTTCACCGCAGCGGCTGTGGCCAGTGTTCCCACAGAAACTAACTTTCTTCTTGGCGTTCACCTAGGCAGCAACACAACACAAGAGAACGGAAACACACATGAGAAGAAAGATCAATCAGACAGGCAAAAGCAACCAGAGGCAGAGAGACGTACAGATGCATCCATCTAAGTTCAGAGAGATGGGAACCGGGCCAGGCGACGCAGCCCCTGCTCTCCTCCCCCCATTACTGAGCCCAACCCCGGCCCCAAGCGCGCAGCAATGCAGGACAGGAGACCCGGGCAATTTGCGTCAGGAAAAGCGCCGCCGCCGCCCGTTCTTCTTGAAAAGGCCCTATCGCAGCAGAACAGAACACGAATCAAGAATCAGCATACCGCGCAAGTCGAGTCGAGTGTGATTGCAGTTGCAGTTGCGTGTACAACTACATACGCATCTATACAGAACGCGGGCCGAGGGAGGAGAGGGGACGATTCGCACGCTCACCTCTCCGCCAATGACCAAGCCCGAGCCGCAATCCGGGAATAGCCGAGCAAGTTGTTGAGGCGGAGGAGTGGCAGGAGGAGGGACCAGGAGAGGAAAAGACAGCCGCGGTGCGGTGCGGTGCGGAGGAGGTGTGGGACGGAAATTTGGTGGAAGGTGTGGGCTGCGGCGAATATATTGCGGGGTTTTTTTTACAACAATATTGCGGGCTTTGGTTGGGGGTGGTGGGCGACGGGGAGAGAGAGGGAGAGGGAGGGAAGCAACAGATCCACCTGGTTTTTCTTTGTTATTATTCTTTTGATTTTATTTTCTTTAGGTGAGATCTGACTGCTTATACCAAATCTAACCATGTCACTAGCCACCACGATACTGACACTGCTGCTTGTGCTTCGCCCTTTTCTGCGGCCGGGGTAGAAACTAGTGTAACCTGAGCAGGAAACAGCGCCAGCCGTGCGTTTATCCTCTAGTAATGCTCTCCAAAAGGGCGTAAGACGCACTTCCCAATCCACACCGCTCGCTCCTGCTCGTCACGTGCCCCGACCGTGAAAGTTGCTCCCGTCCGTGCCCATGACGCCGCGCCCCGCCTTCGCTCCCGCCGACGACGCCCAATCCCCTTCTTCTATGGCCTTTCTCCGGTGCAGGAGCGCCGCGCCGCGGGCACCGCACCCGTGGATTGGTGGGCAGAACAAAATGCGGTGAGATGTCGTAATTGGCTCTTGTTTTGAGTATACAAACAAGTAGTCATTTTTCATGAATTTGGTCTAATGAATGTTACAAGATTTGCGTAGCCTACGCGATTTCAAGCAATGTTGTGGTCTATTGTTGGCAAGCACCGGTTACAACATATTAAGCCATGTTAAAATTACATCATGTAAATCATGTCTGCTTCAGCACGCACGCCTTCTCCAGCGTGTTGGGGGGGGAGGGGTCCCTCGCTGCGAGCACTACACCCGCCCATCCCGCTGCACCCCCCCCCCCACTCACACACCGGCATCGAGCTCTGCGAGACGATTAGCCTCAATTCGTCCAAGCAACAAGGTGACATTGTGCTAAAAGCTCATGTTGTAAGCGTACGTTTCAAGTATTTCAGATGTTTTAGATGTATGTTGCAGGTGTTTTATATCGATGTTGCAAAAGTAGATCGGGATGTTGCACATGTTGCAATGGCTATACATATATGTTTTAAGTGTATATTCCAAATGTTTCATCTGTTTCAGACATATATTGCAAGTGTTTCATTTGGATGTTGCAAAAGTAGATTTTGATGTTGCTTTTATATGCAAGTGTTTCATGTGTTTTCAGGTGTATATTGCAAGTGTTTTATCTGGATGTTTGCATATGTTTGCAATGGCTAAACACGTGTTTTCAAGTTTTTTTTGTGTTTTTGCAAGTGTTTCAGACGTATGTTGCAACTGTTTTTGGACGTATGTTGCAAGTGTTTCATCTGGATGTTGCAAAATTAGATCAGGTGTTGCACATGTTGCAATGGGGATCCACCTACCACAACTGCCTGCTGCAGCTGTTGGGGCGCCACCATGGACACCTTGCGGGCGCCTCAGGCCAGTAGACGCATCCGCGGTGTGGCATCCATAGGCAGGGGCAGGTGACTGGGATCCTCGTGGGTTCCTACATGTGGGCCCCGTGGTCAGGGAAATAGCAGCGTGGGGCCCACGCAGTGGGCTCGCAAAAACAGACGGCATGGGCTTTTTTCGCGTGCAGTGTGGCCTCTCGCGCGAAGGACGGAGACGTCCGATATTTTGGGCGGCTCTGGATGTCCGAACGCCAGTAACGCCCTTTCTCCTCTTGTTTATTTGAGGGTAATTGAAATTAAAGTAGTGAATAGAAGTTTATTAGAGATTTGTTTC